ATTTTTGGAAGAGCTCTGGCACAAATCTTTTTAGGATTTTTTAGGATTTAAGTATCTGGTATATGCCAGTATTATGTATAAGTAAGTACAGGGACGCGGGTGGCGCTGTGGGTAAAACCTCAGCACCTAGGACTTGCCGATCGCATGGTCGGCGGTTCGAATCCCCGCGACGGGGTGCGCTCCCGTCGTTCGGTCCCAGCACCTGCCAACCTAGCAGTTCGAAAGCACCTCCGGGTGCAAGTAGATAAATAGGGACCGCTTACCAGCGGGTAGGTAAACGGCGTTCCGTGTGCTGCGCTGGCTCACCAGATGCAGCTTGTCACGCTGGCCATGTGACCCGGAAGTGTCTGCGGACAGCGCTGGCTCCCGGCCTATAGAGTGAGATGAGCGCACAACCCTAGAGTCTGGCAAGACTGGCCCGTACGGGCAGGGGTACCTTTACCTTACTAAGTACAGTGGTACCTCAGTTTTCAAACATAATCCATTCTGGAAGACTATTCGGCTTCTGAAACATTTGAAAACCGAGGCGCAAAGGGATAATTTCAATTTCAGTGGAGAAAATTGAAAAATACGCAGTGGAAGCCCTTTGACTTCTGAGACTCATTCGAAAACAGAAGCATTTACTTCTGGGTTTTCGGCGTTCGAAAACCTAAATGTTCAGCTTCCGAGATGCTCGAAAACCGAGGTACCACTTTACTTGATATGTTCCTTGCTGAAATACTGGAAGCCCCATAACTATTGACATTCCACCTGCTTTTGAAGGAACACTTGGTTTAGGCATTGAAACTGTTTCTTAACCATTTTTATTATGATGCTTTCCAACCAGTTTGTTTTATTAGATATTTTGATTGTGGGTGCCTTTAATGCATTGATGGAATTATTTTGTTGTGTACTTGAATTAGGAATGGATTTTATAATTGATCTTATACCTGTAAACAGCTTGGAAGCCATTCGGCATATGATGGGTAGACTATATAAATTTAATACTACTAATGCCAGGATTATGTAAAAACCAACCCAAACATCTCACTATGAAATCTGGTCTCAGATTGCAACCTTCTCAGGCATGTAAAATGTTGACAGAGTAAACAATGTTGATGCAACCTAAAAGTGACTCTGATTAAGAGTATAATAAGATCTCTGCTGGATCAGACCAAGGCCTACCCAGTCCAATATTCTGTTCTCATGGTTTAGTTGAGCCAAAGAATTATTTTTTTGATAAAGCAGTTACTGTGAGTTAACAAGCAAAACTCTTACAACCCAGCATCAACTTCCTGGATGGAACACAAATCTCTGAGTTGCACAAAAGTTATGGTTATAAGACTTAAGAAAGAGAACGGAAACTTGGGTCAATTTGATATTTTCACTCTTCCTAAGATAAGAAGTACTGACACAGCAGGATAAAAATTCATGTCCCTCCTGTGCCATATGACAGTTTATCACCCCACTGCACTGGAAGCTTAACACGCTTGTAAAAAAAAAATATCAAGTGCAGTATTATGTGACTGTTCTAATAATAAAATCACAGTAAAACCAAGGCCTCAAGGGAAAGCACACATAATGTTTCCACTAAAAAAGCCACATACTGCCATGCGTCATGTCATTCAAACATGTCATTTAAAGTGAGAGTAGAAAGCAGGATTAATACATGAATGAGGGAGATATTCTGGAGTAATCTTTAGCATATGCTGCATTAAATCTCTTCTGGTAAGTGGCTGACTGAATGCCACATAGCTTTGAACCTTTGAAAACACATGGGTAATGCTCTGCACAGACTTAAGCATCGTTTTCAGTTAATATCCTCACATGATCCACTCAGGAAACTGGAACTGTTGTGTTCACAGCTCTTTAGGACATCAGCTGTTGATACCCATGGTCTGTGAAAGTTTCTCTCGTCCAGAGAGAAAACTCATTGTGCATGTAATTTTTTAAGGCATATCCGTAACTTGAATAAAGCAAACACTTTTTTGGGAGGGAAGGGAAAATAATGGGGAAATAATAAGGCAAGTGGCTGTGCTTGTAGTATGTAGAGATGAAATTCTAGTTCCAAAGGACTTGACAAGAGGTGAGCCTTGTGCAGGCATCTGTGCAGCAAGGACTTTAACCACCCACACCGTTTTAGTCCTAATATATTTGAAAAGCATAGAGAAGCAATCCTTTCTGATGACACAACTGATGAAACATTGCCCCTTCCCTCTTGCAGAATCTTGTGGGAATCAAAGAGAAGCTTGACATTCCTCAAGCATGAAAACAGCTTGTCAACTCACCCATTATGCTATCTGTCCCATTTGCGGGTGGTGTGCAGGAAGAAGCACTGTAATGGGTTGTGCCACTGCGATGGAAAGTGGACATTGGAGGAAGACTGGAATTGATGTCTGCTGAGGAGTGTGATGGGTAGCTCTGTGGTAGAAAGCATAACGAGAGAACATTTCAGTCAGCAGAAGAGCACGTTAACAGCTGGACCTCTGCATTTGGATCACTTCAACTTTCTTTAAAACGTGTGGGACACAGCTTTCTGAGCAGATATATATTCATTAAGATATATGATATAATAATGCACACATATCTCACAGCAGGGCATGCTGCAGATGAAAGGACATGGGGCTCTGCAGGCTGCCTGTGTGAGCCTAGTCTCCTTTAGACATGCCCCAACCTCCCTCTTCCTATGCGGTTCAATTAAATAATTATTACATATATCAGATTTTATTGGGGTTTCACCATTTCAGACTCACTTGCAATGGTAAGCACAAATGCACACACCTACTTCACCATGAAATTTCTGGCGATGAGCCTGGAAAGACTGCTGGTGGAAGACACTATGGAAAGAACCAAAAGTCCTACAGAGCACTAGTTCAGCCTTCTGTAGGGAGTTCACCAGAGAGCCATTCCTACGCCATTGTTTGATATAAACTTCCCAGATCTGGTGCTCTCCATCAGTGTGGGACACCGGACATTAGAGGTCGCTAGGTGAATCCCACCATAGACGTACCCTCCTGTATGCAGAGGACTAGAACATATAAATATATGGGCTTTTGTAGCCTCACATCCCAGAGACTACTCTTATCCCATATACAACAGATGGGCAGCATAAACAATAGAAATGTTTGTCATGTTCCATTTTGAAGACATGAGATGTTTACAAATATTTATTTCTATTCCGCTCTATCCCAAGGTGGTTGCATGCTCAAAGCCGCAATATAAAAATAAACTCTAAGAGACGTCAACAAAGATATATCCCCATGACTTGCAACAAATTTAAATGATGTGTGATCCAGCTAAACTCAAACCTATTTGTCAAAGCACTTTCAAGTCCTGTTGAATTTGGTGGAAGGGAATTAAGCATGCACCTAACTCTTGTGCAGTGCAATCCAATCCAATCCAATCCATGTTTACTTGGGAGCAAGATCCACTATGCTCAGTAGAGTTTGCTGCCTCGTCAATGCTTCTGGGATTTCAGCCCCAGTGAACCAGTGGGATATAAAAGGGGCTTAAACTTCAGCTGCATCACGTCCACAATTTGCAAGGATGATTTGGCATTGTATTAGGACAGCCTTCCCCAACCCTAGTGCCTTCCAGATGTTTTGGACTACAACTCCCAGTGCTAGCCTGGGGCTGATGGTAGTTGTAGTCCAAAATATCTGAAGGGCACCAGGTTGGCTCTCTAGCTGGGTTAGAGCTGCTACACTGGTTTCCTGGTAGGAGGGTTACATGGTGTTAATGCACCAGCTAAGCCACTCTGCTTCTCCTACTAGTGCACCTGCACCATGCCTACCTCCCTGCCACCTCCCCTATCAGTAAGCAACAGAGACCCAGCTTCCAAGAACCTAGTGCAATGGCTTCGCTCCACCCAGCAACCTGTTTCTGTCAACCACAGTTGAGGAATGTCAAAAAGAAGTTGTATGCAAAAAGTAGGTTGGTTCCTATTGAGTGTTTTTCTTCTTTCTTCTCTTGCGTAGCTTAACACACTGGTCTTAAACTGGTCGGTCGTGGCCTTATCCAAGGTGGGTTGCAACAGGCACACTACCACCATGCAAATACATGGTAAAGGATTTAGAAATGGGTCCCCAAATGCATGTTTACAGGTTAAAAGTGGGTCATGGGTTCTCAAAACGTTGAAGATACCTGTTGTTATGCTGGAAATTGGAAGATCTGCATGGATTTTCCAGGAAGGTTCTGCCCCCTGGCTCCTTCTCCCACTCATGGACCTGCTCTGCTGTGACAGACCAGCTCCATCAGGCCTCCTCTCCCTCAATTGTCACCTGGGAGCAGCCATACCATCAGGCTGCCTCAGTGGGGGACCTGGGCTCATTCCATCAGCTCTGCCAAAAGACCAGCTGTATCAGGTACTTCCTACCCCTGAATTGTGCCAGCTGTTCATTATAAGAAGAACTGTTTAAGTACAGGTGCCTGAGTTTGATTTTTTCGTCTTCCCTCCCTGTCCCTTCTCCCTTGTGTGTTGTTGTTTTAGATTGTAAGCCTGCAGGCAGGGACTGATTTGTTTTAATTGACTGCATGTAAGCCACTCTGGGAGCCTGTTGACTGAAGAGTAGGGCACAAATGCTTCAGATGAATGAATGAATGATCTTTACTGTTAAAAGTACTGTACAAAAACGAACACACCAGCTCAAACTGACACCAGTTTCCAACAAGACTCCTTCTCAGTATGCAATTATAAACTCTTTTGCCTGGAAGTAAGTTAGATGGCTATGATAGCACAGAGATTGAAAGTTTATTTGTTCTAATTATAAACAGCCTCCCCCCCATGCTATTTATTACCTTTTTATCTACAAACGAATAGCCCCTACTAATAGCCTACTAATAGCCCCCTTTCCCTTTCAGGACCTACCAGGGCACCAAACTTCTTCTTTCTTTTTAAAAATCCCCACTGGAAATAAAAATAAAATTAGCAAAGGAATGCACAGAACAGGCCTTTCCATTGCATGGGGATGTGCAGTAGTACATGGCATGGTGGCATCGTGTTCACCTGACCTCACAACAGCTGAGTCTCTGTTGCTTACCAGGAAGGAGATGGGGAGGGGTAGACGGCAGGGAAGCTGGCGCAGTGCAAATGCACCAGCAGAGCCAATCTGGCACTCCTGCTGGTACTTTTGCAATGCGCCAACCCCCTCACCATCTTGCCCCTCTCCCTCCCAGGAAGCAACAGTGACTCAGCTGTTGGGAGACCAGGTGAGCATCACCGCCCTACCATGTGCTGAACTGAAACTCCCCCCCCCCCCAGCTTATGAAAAGTTTTCTTCCTACAATGAAAGTGGCTGTTTCATTTGCAGGGTGCTTCAGAAATTCTTCAGAACTCCTGTGAGTGTGATTTGAGCTTACCTTATCGTTGTAGGGTGGCTGAGGCTGGGGTTTATGTTTTTTCTTTCCGTTATACCTTTCTCCAGTGTTTTGCAGCCTCCCTAGCTGCCCACACTTCCTGATCTGAAAAAGCCCTGTGGGAGGAGTTACCTCTTGCTGTCTTCTCCCCGGGCTTTAACTGAAGCATGGGAAGCTGGCAAGGCTGGCTACTGAGTGCCTAAGATTAGTACACTTATTGATTTTATTTTTTAGGGAAGCCCTTCCTTTTACCTTTACCCCAAAAATTAAAAAACCCACACTATTTATAAGTAAAAAGAAAAGAAAAAAGGCTTAATTGTGTTAAAAATAATGTTCTTCTCCTTTCTGCACTTACAGGGAAACACACTTCAGGGCATCATGGAGTTTTCAGGAAGTGTAGACAACTTGAAAGGCTACAGAATGATGACCACTTGCATGATAGTTTGTAGAACAGGGAAAAAAGACGTTCTCAAACCCTCTCGCCCACCTCAGAAATAGCATGAGCACAACAAATGCCCTGCATGTCTACCATGAAAATGTTACCAACATTTTCTTTCCCTTCTAATTTTCAAATGAATGTTGTTGGGTTGTTTTTTTAAAAAAGTAGTAGAAGATGCCATTTTCAGAACAGCACTCTCACACACGCACAAAGAATGATGCTCGCGCAACAGGGCTTTCCTCTGTTCCTCTCTGAAATGGCCCTCAATACTGGCAAGGGGAAGGGAGTTGGGAGACCAACCCCCCCAAAACAAACAGAACAGCATGTGGGGGGAGGAAAGGGTGAAGCATTCCATCGGACAAAATGAAATGTTTGCGCAGATGGAACATACGTTATAGCGTGATGTTGAAATCCACTCATAGTCTTACCAAGCGGTCATGAGGATGAAGACTGCAATAGCTACTGGACTGTGGAATATGAGAAGAATTGCCCAGCATTCCGCCATAACCAGGCTGATTCATCCCACTGGAGGAGCTCCACGGATCACTGCTGTGATGACCGTCTGTAAAACAGAAAAGAAAAACAGGCTTCTCTGAAGGCTTGGTTACCTAACATTCTGGTGTTGTGTTTCCAGTAAATGTTAAAATTAGCATTCTAATAAGGTCTGGTGCACACCTAATGCTCTGCTGTGTTGGGTAGCAGTTTACGTTAAAAGATAGCAATCGCAAATGGGAAGAGCTATGTATCACCCTTTTGCTTCCCAAGGGCTACACTAATTTTATATAAGTATGTGCTCATGATTAAAAAAAAAAGTTTGCTCCAGAGAAAAGCAAATGACATCTCTTGAATCACCACCAATTAGTCACAGGTCTTATGTGCAAAGACTTTCCTATAGTTTGTTGTGCTATCTTTATCTAAATCCTAAATACCTACGACCTATATTGTTACACATTTTTGCTAGGGTAAAAGAGAAGCTTAAAATAGGGTGTTATTAAAATTTCTATGCGACCCTTCCTCCCAAAGGAGTCACACAACATCATAAATACCATCCATACTATAATTAAAGCATCTAAAATTACATATCTAAACAATATAAAAACATGTAAAAAATGGAATTCCTCCATATTCAGGCACTATTCACATGGTGAACTGGAGCGTTTCCATGACATTTATTCAATAAAGTGAATATTCTACATGTTTCATTTTTTTAATTAATAAAGAAAGCCAGACAAAAGTTAGCATATGAATGAGCAGAGGACATATTTTGACCACCTTTATCAATCTTTGGATGGAAGTATGTTAGAAGAGCCCTGGAGGCGGGGCCTTTTCTGTGGTGGCATCACACCTTCAGAATGCCCTCTCTGGGAAAATTTTACAGGCTCTCTTTCTGCTTATAGATGGGCCCGTGGAAAAAATGTATCCAGACAGGCATTTGATGGGTAATTCTAACTGCTTTTATGCAGCTGTAGGGAACAATCCTAAATCCTAATCCATGCTGCTAAAGATTAGGATTTAGAAGAGGTGGCCCTCTGCCAGGCTCTGCCAGCAGAAGTGCTGCTGCAGGTGCCTCTGTTGTGCCCACTGAAGGTGGGAGCTGTCATGAAGTTGGAATCCTGCCATTGGTAGTCAGTATAAGGCTCTGAAAGAGGAAATATCACCGGGGGGGGGGGGCGGTGCGGAGAGAAGCAGGGCTAGTGATGTATCTACTGGAGCTGGCACATTAAAAATCCACCTCCACCTTCTGCCCTGATTGGCAGGTGCTAGTTCCAATTGTCACTGAAGCTGAGTTAGGATTGCTCCATCCATCTTTGGAAACTGCTGTCTCTTAACGCTTACGTTTCTAATGCGTGTGCATTCTTTTATTTGCGCATTTGGGCAATAATACCATTCTGGTTTTGCAGTTATTATAGATCTTAATCCCACTGCTGGGCAAGTAAGGATTTTCTTGCTTTATAACTGATTATTGTGGATAAACACTTTTAGTGTGCAGTATTGTTTTAATGGATACGTTCACTACGTATATTTCGTTTTTGCATTTTACTTTGGTTATGGCAAGTGACAAACTGAACAACAATAATATTTTGCATTATTTATATGGTTGTTTAGGTTATTGCATGCCAGTGTGAATAAAAAGGTAGGGCTGAAATGAATGAATATATATATATATGCCCAGCATATTGTCCTGTCGTCTCTCAAAGCAACAGGGGAGGCTGAATAACTTTGTAGAAACGTAACAAAGGGAGCAAATAGGCAAGGTATTCAGTTTTATTAATTTCTAAAATGTGCATGAAGTTTAATGCTTTCATTTTAGGACATAAGCTTAACTGTTCAAGTTTCCCTTAGGGTACATGACATTTAAACCTCAAAACTGAGGAAAACTGCAGTATTCAAAAGGACAACCAGGACTTTCAACAATATTTCTGGGCTAAGTCGTTTAGGGCTTTAAACAGTAATGTGATCACCTTGAATTGGGCCTGGAATTGGCAACCAACACCGCTCATACAGTGGCCATATGAGTTCGAAAGGGAACCCCACCTAGTAAGCTGACTGCTGTTTTTGACCCATTTCCTACTGGTTCTCAAAATGCATGCACAGCAAAATCCCATCAACAGCACCACCTTACCTTGCATGAAGAAGGAACTAGGAAAAGTGCTGGCTGCTGGTTTTGAGGATGGATAGCCTGGTGAATCCCGATTGTAGTCGGCAGTGCTTGCAGAAGGGGCATAAACCTACAGTGGAAAAAGAGGAGAAAAGAATTGCCTTTAGTATTCCACCAAGAATGACTGCACTTGAAACAAGGGGGTTAAAAATGGGATTTTTATCCCTATTCTTTATTCAGCACAATCCACTTCATAACATTAGACTCCGTGCTTCATTTAAAACTGAAATAGGAAAAAAACACCATAGCTATTTGTAATAGAGAATGTTTTAGGCCTGGTTCACACTAAGGTGGCAAACTAGAGTTTGGGCTGTACAGGTGGGATCTCACATTGCTGAAAAACTAATATGCTGGAGAAAAGGTTAGGTTAGGTTACCCTTCTCCCCGGTATCTGGTTTGCTCTATGGAGATTTCATATAGTCAGGGGAGCATTCAATCGTGTGAGCAGTCAGAACAGTACAACCCAGGCATGGGTTGGATATGAAGATGCCTTGCATTACACTAAAGGATTTCAACCTGTTCTAGGTGTGCCCTCAAATCTCTCTTGATTGCTTCCTCATCCCTGGAGATCTCTATGCTCTGCCCCATCCTATCCCGCTAAGCATGAATTATGCAGACGGGAACTCAGCTGGTTAGAGAGTGGTGCTGATAGTGCTAAGGTAGCAGGTTCGATCCCCGTACTGCACAACTGCATATTCCTGCATTGCAGGGGGTTGGACTAGATCAGGCACCCCCAACTTGCGGCCCTCCAGATGTTTTGGACTACACTGGTCCTGTTAGCTAGGGATCATGGGAGTTGTAGGCCAAAACATCTGGATGCCTGGACTAGATGTTCCTTGAGGTTCCTTCCAACTCTACAATTCCATGATTTTATGGGAGGAAGAAGCTCCATCTCATGAGCGGAGCTCTTAGCACTTGCGCTTCAACCAAATCACATATTTATCATCTGAGAGAGAATGCAGCCCCTGACTGGCATGGCTGACCCCCATAGGGCATTTGTTAAGGGCAGCTTCTTGACTTTCTTACAAAACTCAGAGGAAAAATATGAGTGGGAGTTGCGGGAGCCACAAAATAGAAACTGAAATCTGGTGGGTGGGTGTTTCAGCATATGCAGATGTGCAGGCAGGCTGTACTCCAGAGTGCGGGGTACACTCAGTGGTATCACTAAAGGGGTTTGAGTCTCTGAAGTGGGGTAAACATAGAAAAGAAACCCACTGCTGAAATGAGTGAGATCTGCCACGTCTGCCTGGCTGCAAGCTCTCTGCCCAACATATGCACGGTGGAACTGTGATATCATGGAGTTTAACATAATTTTACAAAACCATTGAAAGTGCTATATTGTGTGGAAATATGCAGATTTCATACATTAGAAGAGGAACAATGGGAGAAGTTAGGAATTCAGCCCTTTGTTCCCATGACTGAAAAATGAAATTGAGAAAGCAGTACCAAGCATATCCTGGGATGCTAAACTCCTATGATCTTTGGTCTTTGCTGAGAAACTTAAAAGAACCATTAAAAATTGGGATAGGCACAAGACCACCAAGACAGCATGCGTGCACTTTAGGGGAAAAACCCTGCTTTTTAGTACTTAGCGCATTTGCCTGCTCAATAAACTTAGCAAGTATGCCAAAAACCTAATTTACTTAACATTTGCTTACTAATACAACAAAGGTTTTTCTAGCCATCTCTTCACAACGAATAAAAACAATCTTATTCATTTTCTTGCTTTGATCTGATTTA